CTCATAAAGCCATGCCAAGGGCCCTGCAATAACCCCAGCTAGCTCCCTCAACACCCTGGTGTGGAGAGCATCTGGACCCGCTGACTTGAACACGTCCAGCCCCTCCAGAAGCTCTCTAACCCGGTCCTCCCCAACCTGAGGTCTGGAGGTGTTCCCCTCGAGTCCATCTGGCATCACAGCGGGGAAGTCCCGGTCCCTGCACAAGAAGATGGAGATGAAGAATTGGTTAAAGAGTTCCGCTTTCTCCTCTGGCGCAACCACCAGATTGCCCAGCATACTTTGCAGGGGCCCCACATTACCCGGTGCCTTCTTCATCCTCCCTATGTATTTGAAAAAGGACTTTTTATTATCCTTGATCTTGGACGCTAGTCCTAGCTCCAGAATAGACTGCTGGAGTATAATGGACTCATATATTGTGTTGTAAGACTTCACAATATTTAGTTAGGCTTCTTTTAATCAAATAGAACTTCAGCATTAAACAATCACAAACAACTACAAAGACATGTTCATGGAATATTTTTACATTTTTTTCCATAATAAAGCTGGTCAAAATTTTTCAACTTTTGGGGAAAAAAATGGGGAAAGAAATGTTTTAAAAGTCTTTACTCCTACTTCCATTTCTCCCCCACCCCCTTCTTTGCCCTCCTCCCCAACCAGCATAATTATATTAAAAAATACTAGAGGGGAAAGTTGGGCCTTTTTCACTTTCACAGAAATTAGCCCCAATCAAAGAATCTCTGCAAGAAGACCTATATTTCTCATATTTTTCATAAGGAAGACCAGGGTGAATGAACACATAACTGAAATCTGGGTTCAGTTTATGGAAGAACCAGATTTCCTGGGGTGACTATAAAACTCTTCCAAAAAGAATGGACAGTGATTCAGGGTACAATGTCATGGAGCATATCTATGTTGTGGGTCTGGTCTCTCTGAACAAAGGTTCTTGTCAAAACCGTGTTCCTTGCATTTTCACAAGCCATTTTCTCCAGGGTTTTTGAATGGTTTCCCCTTCATTTTCAGTTACAGTCTGTGGTGAAAATCTCTACATGTCAAGCGCCCCAACTGCATGGTCAGATGTCATTCAGGCCTGGTATAATGAAAAGAAAGACTTTAAGTATGGCAGTGGGCCAACAAGACCAGAAGCAGTGATTGCGCATTATACTCAGGTAGGAGACATACAACTTATTACACCCCAATCTTTACTGATATAGCTGTACAATGTCACTAAGGCAGGGGTGGGCAAAATATGACCCGCGGGCCAGATTTGACCTGCCAGGCCATTCTATCTGGCCTACGGGGCCACTAAAAATGTCACTAAGGGCTTGAGCTCATCATTGTCATTGATTCTTCTACTTAGGTGTTACAACATCTAAAAATTAAGCACCTTAGAAAACTTAGGCATAGAGACATATCTGAATTCTTGTCAATCCCTGGAGCTTAGGTGCTTGACTCCTAGCTGTATATTAGTCACTCCTGTCATCTCAAAATCCAGATCACTCAGAGGGAAGGTATCTGACATACCCTGGCAGCAGAAACAAGTTCAGTACATAACGTCCACAGATGTTCTTTCTCAAACAAGCATGATAATGGTGCCCACATTTTTTCACAATAACCTAAGGGTTAAAGCACTGGTCAAGGAGGTAGAAAATCTGGGTACTAAACCTTGTTTAACCTGAGAGAATCCTTACCAGTCTTTCCCACATCTTCAAATACTTCCCTAACCACAAAGCTGTAGAAGAGTTGGAAATTGAGAAACTGGGCATATAAGAATATAAGCATCATAAAGCCATGAAGAAGAACCAGAAAGAGTCATTTGCAAATCAAGGGAAATGATTCTTCCTCTCTATTCACCACTAGTGAACCTTCAGCTGGAGTACTGCGTCTAGTTTTGGGCCTCACACTTCAATAAGGACGTAGGCAGTTTGGAAAGAGTCCAGTGTAGAGAACCAAAAATAATTAGAGACCTGGGAGACAAGATTTATGAGGATAAGCTGAAAAAATTAGAGTTACTTAGTCTAGAGAAAAGAAGAAGGCTGAAGTGGGATTTGATAATAGCCTGCAAAAGGCAATTACAGAGAGGCTAGAGATGAACTTTTCTCTGTGGAAATAGGGTACAGGACTAGGAGCAATGGCCTCAAGGTTCAACAGGGGAAAATTTAGGTTGGAGATTATGAAGAGCTTTCAGACTATGAGGGCAGTTAAGCATTGGTACAGGCTACCTGGAGCAACTGTGGACTCTCTGTCCTTGGAAGTTTTCAAGATTAAGTTTGGACAGATAATTGGCTAGGATGGATCCTGCCTTGAGGAAGGGCAGGGCTAGATGACCATGTGAGGTCCCTTCCAGCTGTGCTTTCACAGTATCCTATGATCCTATGACTCTTATGCCTAGTAGTTAGAGCACTCCCATTAGAGCAAGGGAGTCCTCATGAGTTCTGTGCAGGTAGAGCTACTTGTACATTAGACCTGGTCTCTGGACACCTACAAGATTAGGGATATTGTCAGACTTCAGGCACCTCTTTGGATCACAGCAGAGCTTATACAGAAGTTGGGCCTGGACCACTCCTGAGCATGCTCAGAAGTCTAAGCACTTAGGGAAATGTTCAAGCCCAAATGAAGGTGCCTACAGTTTTGTTTTCAGTTACTTAAATGCTGAAATTCTGTGCATATCTCATTTAGGTACCTAGAAGAACAACTTGTATCTGTCTTTAAATAACTATTAGATTCAAAGGAAATACCGACCACATTTTCTTTAAAAGGAACAAACACTGAGGAGAGAGGAGCAGCATTCCAGAACAGAGAACTAAAGATGAAAACATTCAAAATAGCAGCATTAAAATATATAAGAAAGGTCAAATATCATGCCACACTTACTCAACATAAGTTCCAGTAGCTCAAAGTTAATAGTGGGGTCCTCACGATTTGGCTTGTTTAAAACTAGGTTATAACAATCCCATTTAAATGGTAGGGGACAATTCTGTACTGACAGATGGATGGCACAGGTAATTTATAAAATCTTTTCTCAAGAGAGTAATATGCCAATTAATGTGCAGGTACCAAAGCCTAAGTGGCTAAGGTCACTTTGATTTAGCCTGCCTTCAGTGAGTCCATCAGGTATCCACATAACCAATTACATCTGTAAAATAAAAAGCCATGATTTCTCATATAGCATTGGAAGGAACAAAGTGAGAAAGAAACATTGTTATTTCTCTTTTTAGTGCTTCAGAGGTCAAGTATTATGCAAATGGGAGTCTTACAAACACTGGGAGAGAGCAAGTTCTATAAGCTGGCTTCCGAATTAGTATTTCATGAGACCCATGGACCATTTTGAACATTTATTCTGACCATCCTCACAGGACATAACATTTTAATTTGTGATTCTTGTATCTTTTTCAACAACTTGCATTCAAACTGGAGCACATTTTTGGAAAAAAAACATCCAGGGTTGATTTAAAGTATCCACATGATATAGAACAGGGAAGAGCAAAATACGGCCCATGGTCTCGATGAGGCTCTCCAGGCCATTTTATCTGGCCCTAAAAAATTTAGAAAGTAAATATTTATCTGCCCCTGGCTGCCTGTCATTGGCCCTCGGTGGCTTGTCAAAACTCAGTAAGCGGCCCTCTGCCGGAAATAATTGCCTGCCCCGATATAGAATCTGTTTTGCTATTTGAGTTTCATTTCTGTTACCTCTGCAAAATGGGACATATAATAGCATATCATTTTTCTGGCTGTTTTCCTGCTTCTTGTAACACATTTTCCTATGTTGCATAATAATAAAAAAACCATGGCCATTACTTGGCTTCCTATTAAACCTTTTAAAAATATGTGTTTTTTTATAACTATAAGCCCCTATTGTATTTAATCATCCACTTGTTTTTATATCTCCAGGTGGTTTGGTATAAATCTTACCAGATTGGATGTGCAGTGGCTTTCTGTCCTCAGAATATATTCAGCTACTTTTACGTTTGCCACTACTGCCCTGCGTATGTATTATCTGTGGATTTAATTGATGGCTGGCTTGCCTTAGTGCTTTCATGTATCAATTTGACTCAAGATTTTTTAAATAATGCCTTCCAAGAGAAATTATAGTTAGAGGGGCAATTATGCAATATTATGTGGAAATACAAGTAGAATCATAGAATAATAAAAAATAGGATTGCATAGGACTGTAATAAATCATCTAGCCCATTGATTCATGATTGAAGTGC